GTAATAATAATTAAATATCACAAACTATAACTTGTGCTGTGGTTTTTTATGCTCTTATTTTTTATATGTTTTAATATTAGAACCACGTTAGTTTTCAAGATATATTATATAAATCATTTGTGCAAATTAAATAGCTGTTTAACAGTTCGAAATAGTTGTTAATAAAATCTTTAATAAAATATTTATGTAAAATAATATAGATTATTATATTTACAAGACTATCATTATTTAATTTGTAATTTGATTCTATTACGATAAACATTCAGAATATTTTATTCTTTGATCTTCCAGCCAAATATGGATGCTACTTGTTTGCGTAATGCTTTCATAGTCAAATGAGAATCCGCCACAGTGACAATTATTCAACTACATCTATAAAAATGTTAAATATGTAAAATGAGTATCTCAATACAATTGGTTTTGTCAAAAGTTTATTCACAACAATAATTTGAGAAATCGTATTTTAAAAACTGAAATCATAGCTTAAATTGTTCATCTCCCGGCACTACTACAATGTTTCAATGCGTACAGTGCCATATTCAGCAATTTTAATAGAGCAACACTTCTCCTAGTCATATAATACGGGTTAAATTATTTAAAAAATTTCTCTATTATCATCTGTATCTTTTTCTGTATGACTGAATTTGAAAATCAAAAAAATTTGATAATTTCAATGAACAAGGTTTTTATTTTTACATCTCTGGCTTACGAAAAAGGTTACATATTCGATACTTTTGATAAAATGAAATATTGATTTCTTCCTAAACTCATTTGAAAAGATTATTTTAAAAAATATTTCATTTTAAATATTAGTAAATTTGGACTATTAAAACACATAGCATAATATCCTTTGTACAATGATGCCCTTGTAGCGACGGTTTTGAATTCTTTTCGGATTCAATATGATCTATAACATCTGTAATTTTGTTTTTGCACATATGTATTATTTATATTTCATTTAATAAGTTATTACAAAAATTGCAACACACATCAAAAGATATTCTGTATAATTTTCTGTATAATTTTATTCTGTTAATGAGTTTTATGTGATCAGGAGAAGTTATATTTATTACAAATTGTACAATATGTAAGATTTATCTTTACGTGACATAAACAAAGCGAGTAATTACCAGGATTTAATCTTATTTGTTTTGATAGTGGTTCCACAGTCAAAGGACTTTGCGTTTCGCCGGAGACTGGTATATCTTCATCGTCACTGCTTTGTCTTGGCATATTTTCCACAGTTGCAGAACTTTGCGTCGCAGTACTTTGTATTTCGCTGGACTCTGCCTCTGGTGTCTCTTGTGTCTCTGGTACACTCTCACTCGGAATGTCTTGTTCAGGCCTATATTTACATATTATTAAAAAGATAGAAACTATTACGTATTATTTAAAAAACAGAAAAATGCCATGAAATACATAATTATGTAAATTCAAAGTGTACGTCCTGTGGAGAAATCAAATCAAAATTTGCATTTTTTGGATTCAGTATTAATATTATCAATTCGTTAACATTTACATTTGTAATTTATTTATGTTATACATTTTGTATAAAATTAATGTCTTTAAAATTGAATATTGTAATATAATGCTATATATACAGAAATTAAATCACATAATGTAATATGCAAATGTTGACAGATATACTGCTAGGGTGTCCGATCATAAATTTAAAGTACGGTTGAAGTAATTTAAATTGAACAAAAAAGTTAATTTTTTGCCATTTTGCAATTTTCGCGTTCTAACTAATGAGAAATTATTTAATTAAGATAAATGAATGACCGTTTATTAGGGGCAATTCTGATAGTAAACGTGTTGCACATTATACATGCATGCTAAATACGCCCTAATATTTCGTTACCTACGAAGTAACCACAATCGTCGCGATACGTTTGTTAGCGATCTCTTCTTTGCGTTTACATACATTCATTATTGAATCTATCATCACAAATTCCGAATATAAGCAATATATAAGCAGAAAATGTTAGTATTTATCATACTTTTTGTTTATATTCTACATACAGGAAATATGATGTTGGCCATATTATGTAAGAAATTTTTAATATTTGTATAATTGAAAAAAGCTTAAATATTTTGTAATTTATCAGTTTGTTAATAACGTGAAACATAGTTTAAAATTTATTACATTTTTTGTATCATAAATGAATTATACTTTTATTGGAAGTTAATATTTAATTTTCATACCTCATTCATTTCATGTTAATGTTATTTAATATAAGAAAAGTGAATAATTACTCAACAATGTGTACTTCTTGAATCTCATATCTCTCCGATGTATGTGATATCTGCGTTGCAGCTTCTCATCTTTAGTTCTTGTATCTTAGTTTGTAGATTTTCATCTGTCTTTGGCCTACCTGACGTCGAACTGTTATTAAATAATTGTTTTGGGATAAATATTAAAATTATAAATGAGATCGTTTATTTGAGTAAATCAATTAAGTACAAAATAACATCAATTATGATGAAAATTAAACGTTAAATTACTACACGTAAAAGAAGGGTCCCATTTGCCTACAAAACGATTGTCTATAGCTTCGCATATATATGTATGTATTTTAAATAAAATAATCTTAAAAATAATAAAAAGTTACATTATTCTGAAGAAGTTCTTTACAGGTTTTAAGATTTAGCATGAAATTAAAATTCTAATTAAATTTGGTATTATTATAATATTTCATATATATATTGATTATGTGTTGAAAGATCGAAAGCAATTGTCGCGCAGTTATTGTTGAGATGATTTCATTTAAAGTACATTCGTATGCGTGTGTCTAACTTTGACCATAACTGGCGCTTCTTTGTATTTAATTGCTCTGTGATTATATTACTATTTATAAAATATTTATGATAAGATGTTTTTTGATAGAACAAAACCGAAGTCATAGATCAATTATCTCTTTGGATTATTATAAAGTTATAGAAATAAATCAAGTAAAACGCAATTAATTTTTGATATGTCTAAAAAATATTCGTTTTATACCCATGGTTTTGGATCCAGTGGTCTCTTATAATTTTCAAACCGTCCAAATACAATTTATTGTCTTTTTCCATATTTTCTGAATATTCACACTTAGAGCAGGTTGCTAATGTTCCATCCGTTATTTTGTAATTTCGAAATATTACATTTCCATCATTTTTTATTTCATTGTAAATCATATTTTTCGGCCCGTGATGAATTTCCCAATGGTTTCTTATGCAATATAACTTATTAGCATCATATGTATATCTGTGATTAGAATCTATATTACAATGTAGTTTATATTTTCCTATTTTAATACATTTCGTTATTTTCATATTGTATTGTTGCAGTAGCGTATTAAGATCTTCTGAAGCAGCTTCCGTTTTTGTTTTTCTTTCAATCTCTTTCATTTTAACTTCTTTATCAACATTTTGCTTTGCTTTGTTTATTTCTAATTGCATTTTTTCTTCTTTTTCTAGCTCACTTTGTATGGATGCTTCGTCTAGGAACTGTAAATCTTGTACTTTTTTTTCTAGTATGTCCGAATAATCGCTGTGGAAGCCATAAGATTAGTATTAAATATAGTTGATTAATTTTTGTTTTATATTAGTTACATTCCGTGTCAATTTTAAATTAATTGCCTACAATGATTTGTAGATTATCAATGACTGCAATACGAGCATATGGCACGGAATTATTATGTATTAATAAATATATATGTAAATTATATGATTACCATAACAGTCATTACCAAGAACTTAATTTATTACAAAACATCTTAAATATTACATAGTAAAATGTACTTAGCGTATATTCGTACGTATGACAAAATAATGGTTACAGAAACTGTACTGAATACTTATTTTCTTATATGAGATATATACATATCAGGGGAATTTATATAACATTAATTTATATAAAACTAATTTCATGAAGAAATGCTCAATTTCAATTCTATTTGCAAAAATCTTTTCTGTTTTTCGAATTAATAACGAAATTGTAAAAATAAAATAAACAAAATGTATAAAATCAACTTTTCATACTTTTGAGAATGATAAATATGAACAATATATTTTACATACTCAATATGTGGTATCAAGTGTCTGTTTAAGGCCACGAGTATCACAGCAGGATGCGAATCCAAACCTTCCAAGGATATCAGCGTCCGACAAAATGAGCATTTCGCATATTCGGTGTTTTTTATTTTGTAATTATTCAGTATTTTTCGTCCAGAATCTATTTTTACTGCTTTTGCAAAAAAAGCAGTTTTTTTGTCGTCTGTGTGATGCGTTATCGAATGGTTTTTAAATGGTAATCCTTTACCAAATTTACTTTTAATTTTCGTGTTACAATTTGAAACAAGACATTCCCCAACGTCAATTTGGTTTGCATTTTGGCGATGAAGATTAAATCTTGCTGCTACGGACTGATATTTTGGGTCGTCCATTATTTCTGATTCTCCATGCTCATTGTATATATGACATTTCATTCTAACACGATCGATGATAAAATCAGGCTCCGATTTTTGTCTGCAGCGTCCACATGTGACTAACTGATTACCCTTCGCATCTAATCCAGATTCTTTGTAAAACTGCACTATACCCTCTGGTTGCTGTTGAGCCATGTTCGTTAACACTGTTCTCTATTATGGATTGCTCACGATTAACTGCTTATTACTCGGAGAACTGTTTATTATTTTAAAATCATAGCTAAGAGATCGAAGGAAGATACATGTTTCCTTGTCAGAAAATGTAAATACTAATGTTTTTAGTTAGTTTATGTGTATTAAATATACCGTTTGACCGACAAATTGTGTAGCTCTACATCTCATTCCATATTTAATGCAATTTTATATATTTAATAAAATTCTAAAATTTTAAATTATTGAAACACGCAGAGGAAGAAGAAATATTCTTATATTGGTAATGTCTTTATTTTTAAAATATAAATCTTGAAATAAGATTATATAGCGTTAAATCAACCTGCTTACATGAAGAAATTTTAATTAAACCAAGAAGAATATATTCTCGTTACTCAATAATAATAATTATAATTTTGGAGAGAAAATACCATGTAGAAAATAAGAATATTTTCAAATTGAGAATCAGAATTGCTTTAAATAGAAATGAAATTTTTATTTTATTGTACCGTTTCCTCGAAATAAATTGTTTGTATTTTTAAATTGTTTTATTAAAATTGAGCGTGCATCTCATACGTGATCTCAATATGTACAATGGACGTAATAAATAAACGCCCAGATCTTCGTTATAATTGTCGTTCGCATAAAAATTCGAAATTATACATATATTATGAACGAATCGATTAAAGTAACGAGAAAAGCAAATCTTATAATAAATCTTCAAGACTTAATAGTTTACTTTATCTCGTCTATTGAATTTAATTATTTGTTTAATAGACTATCTTATTAAAGATTCAATTTTCACTCTTTAGATTAGAGTGAGATTTCACTCGGAATAAAAGAATTTTAATGAGTAGATATTTGTAAAATAACGAATGGTTTTATCAAAGATTCGGGACTGTTTCGCCTTTGTTACTTGCCTTTGTTACGATTATGACAAAATCACATAATATTATAATTAATATGAAAACAAGAATTTGAATATTAACGCGTGACATTAGACAATTCACGAATTATTATTTTTATGATTACATTGACGACGCATATATACTATATATTCTCTAATATTGCAAAGTATTGTCTCCTTGAAACAATTTATTAATGTAAAGATTTTGAAATATATTTATATAATACTCGTAGCAGTTAATAAAAATAGCTGAGGTATACATGCTGAACGTGCAACACCAATTTTAATTAATCAAAATTTTTGGAAAATTCAGAAGAATAAGAATTGTCAAATTTTATATAATAAATTTCTTGGTATAAAACTTTTTAAAATCCCGTTATTATGAAGTTTGGTTTATCTCGAAGAGATGATGCCCAAGAAACTTTTGTTTTATAAAAAATTACTATAATGCATGTATTTTGTTATTATGAAATATTTCTTCGTAATCACTATTTCGTAAGGAAATCATCCATTTATTTTTAATAAGCGAAGATTTTTGGGGTGAAGAATGTGGGGCGAAGAATGTGGGGCAGAACATATTTTCTTGTGAATTTTAATTATAATATATTAAAGATGCAATAAAAATGACTATCGCGGTCTGAAAGATTCATATTCTCCTGTAGATAACTTGTGTTTGATGCATTGCTTAACTTTTCTTTGCGAATGAGTATTGTGAATTTGATGTTGAATCAGAATTAAGTTCATTCTCCACTATGAAGATCGCTCTTCTATGTATTAAATACTAAATTATCAAAAAGCACAGAGAATTTAAAAGAATTCAAAATGAATTTCAGTGATATGTCATTAATTCTAAACTTATTACTTTTCAGATACAACATGAATTCTTTTTAGAACTTTTCAGAAAAAGAATTCTTTTTGCGTCTGAAAATAAATTCAGAATTGATGACATATCATTGAATTCTTTTTGAACTCTTTGTGATATCTGGATTATCAGCGAATTGTTACAAAGCGCAAGGAGCTTGAAAAGTCTCTACTTCGTTTTTTGCTAAATTAAACCTTAAATTAGCGATATACGATTGGAAAAGTTTGAAGTGTATTCAAAATCTCTGTAATTGTTAGTAATTATAAAGACTTTGAAATATACTTACATACTAGTAATTATATTTGGTTAAAAACGAACTGAAAGTCTGTATAAAGAAACATAACTTTGTAATTTCATTTTTATGCAGGTATAATACAAAATTCGTTATAATACAAAATTCGTTAAATTAACTTGTTTGGATATTCAATTTTGAGTTTCTTTAAATTCAACAACTTTTATTTCCACAGTAGTAGATGCGAAATTAAAATTTTTGTTTAACCTATTAATAAATATTGTCTGAAAAGAATTCATGTTGCATTATGTCTCAGAACACCGAGGAGACAAGATTTTGTTTTATTTCTTTTCGCATTGTCTCTAATTTTACTATTTGCACCCGAAACTCTTTTAATTTGTGACTCAAGGATCAAACACATATTTGCGTTCACCATTCACTTTTAATCAAAGGACTTTCGATTTACTAAAATTGACATTATAAGCATTTTAATGACTGCAAGTAGCTTTTATTATGCGTACGTTCTTTTTCCGTTATATATTATAAATATGTACATTATGATATTCGTTTTCTTGTTACCAGCGTCAGAGCGAAATAGATAATTTATGTTTTTATTTTCTTTTCCGACTGTAACTATTATGTATATTTTTAACATTGAAAATGATCCGATCACGATGGGAACGTCCGTCTGCTAGCTTTCTATATTAAATCTTTAACTTAAAACATGTCTGTTTCTTTTATTTTTTTACATTCATGTTTATTATATAATAATTTTTGGCTCGTAGCCCTCTTTTTTCTTTATTTTATAAAATTTATGAGCCTTATTACTAATTAGATATTTTAATTGTTATTTTATTTCCAAAAATAAAACCCATTCTACAATTGCGTAAGCGTAATTGTAAATGATTGCAGTTGTAAGAATTGGTCAATTATAATCGAATATGAGAAGAATATTCGTCTGTGATTGATCAATTCTTACAATTGCAATTATTTACAATTACGCTTATGCAATTATAGAATGGGCTTAAAATATCCATTTCTGAAGTTAAAAAAACTTTCCATGACTCGCGCTTGATTATTGTATAATAATGGGACTTTACATAGATTCATTTCATTTTTCTCAATTATCTAAAAAATTGGACATGAGCAAAACGCCTTCCGAATTTAGACCAAAATCTATAAGAAACACTTATTCATTTAATTTGTTAAAAAAATTTCTGAAATTTATTTTTTTGCGATTTACATACCACATAAAAAAAACAATGAATGCATAATAAAGATATTGTTGTAGGTTTCATGGGAGCCAGATTTCGAGCCTTATATAATAGTTTCAAAATCTGTTTAATTTTAGTCTCGGTTTAATTTATTCTTTATTTTTAATTCTTCGAACTGAAAAAAAAAATGAAACGTGAGTTAAACCAAGAACAAAATTTTAATCTACAATGACAGAAAGTATTAGTAGTACATAAATATAGTTGTATAAATGATATATTCTGCTCAGTAATTGTTTTATTTCCTCGCATCATTTTGAGTGAATTGATATGTGTATATCAGACCATGACAGTACATTGTATATTTTGATTCCAATTTCAAATAACATACATTTTGCACGCACACATGTAAGAATGACTGTTGTACACACGTGAAAAAGTAATATATATATATATATTCGTAAAAGTTAAAAGCCCAAATTAAACGAGCAAAAATATATGTTTATTAATTTAATTAAAACATGTATTTAATTAAGTAGAACGTTTCAATTTGATAAAGCCCTCTTCAGTCGTTACAAATGCTGAATCAATCGACTATAATTAAAACAAAAATTTTTTTTATCTATGTGTTGCATATTTTCATCATGTTTTATATGAAAACTTTCTTTGTTCTATTTTAATTGTATTCGACTGGTATGTATACTTGTATTCAAATGTTCCTTGCGGCTGAAAAGAGCTTTGTTAAATCGAACCGTTCCGATTCATTAAATACATATATTTTATTAATTTGACATACATTTTTATTCGTTTAATATTAATATTAGTAGTACATAAATATATTTGCAGTGTAAATGATATTATATATCTGTAACAACATAATGGATCTAAATATGATATACATTATATTGATCGAAAAATTAAATTGATACGCGTCTGATTAAAATGTAATATAAAAACTATTGATAATTTCTTTCTCTTTAGAAGATTTAGGTGATATTTTTCAAACATATCGTTTTCGTCATCGTTCGATGCCATTTAATGTGTAATTTTATAAATACAAAGATACTACACATATCTGTACTGTTCTTGCTGTGGAATCGAAATACAATATTAACTGTATTTAAGACATACTTATTATTTCAACTGTATGTATATGTATAGCGATAATTAGTTAATACAAAAGATTGTATTGCGACGTGTTTCTAAGCAATGATTGAATGCAATAGCAACTATTTAATTGTATCATCGATTTATATTTACAATCACAATGAGTATTTATGAATTTTATTACAATTTAATCACACATACCTGTGTTCACGTATTGTGGAAAAATTTTAACAAAATTTTATACATCATTAAACAAAATGATGGAAAATTTCTATTCTACATGCACAGAATGTTTGAATTACCTAAAAAAGCATGATTTACATTATATAACGCAGCATTAGAACAGCATTCGAATGGAATGGAAATTTCTATCAGAGAATTGGGTTTTTTTTCTGTCAATATATTTCTTTGTCTCCTCCTTCTATTACTTGATTATTTTATTTAATGTATTATTACGAAAAATTCATTTAATAATAATAATGATATTTAGAATTGATTTACAATTAGAAATTTATAAATTATAATACTTTGTAACGTGGAATATTTCGTGAGATTTTACGGTAAACTAGTTTAAATATTCTTAAATATGTTACATTTTAAGATAATCTCTCTCTTTCCACTTCTTCTAATAAAAAGAAATTATTTAAGTTAAGCATACGAAAATAATAGCATTTTTTTTGGCTCAATGAAATGATCAATCAAAAATTTGTAAAATAAGCATTATAATATTATGAATGAAGTACAAATAAGAATTTT